ACCCGTTAGGGTTCACTGTTTCTACATCACTGGGGAGACAGCAGAGATCAGTACAAAGATGTCCTTCAGAAGTTCACACTGGAACGGGGTGGGGAGGCAGAAAATACAGTTACAGATTTGGGTCTGGGGTTAGGAAGAAGCTAGGCTGCCAATATGATTTTGAGAGTCAAGTGTATTTGAAGTTGTGGATGAGACCAGCTACAGAGCAAATGCAGAAGAGTCCAAAGCTGGAGTTCAGGGCTTAACCAACATTTGGAAGTTTGGAACAGGACAAGAATCCATGAAAGAACACTTGAGAAGGCATGGCCAGGGAGGCAGGAGGAAAGTCAGGGAGTGTGGGGCTACAGAGGTGTTTCAAGAGGCAGGGAATGGTTAGTCATGACAAAGCTGATGAGAGATGAAGTAAGAGAGAACTGACTACTGATTTTGGAAAGCTTTAGTTCATTTAAGTGAGAGCTGTTCAGTGGCACAGAGGGGCCAAAAGTAATAGAATGTTTTCCTCTCATCCCATTTCATCCTATTCCGCCCACCCATTCCAGCCAATCCTGCCCTGTGCTAGAGGGTGCCACCTCTCCCGATCCACACAGCTATAGTATAGCAGCCTAGCTTCTTCCTAACCCCAGACCCTATAGAGAATCTCTGGGTGAGTCCCTCCTTCCTCCATTTCCTCCCCACGATCAGGAGCTGTCTGAAGGACCCAGTCAGCAAATGTTTTCTGTGAAAGGTATATGAAGCGGGCAGAGCAGGACTGTGCTCCTGAGAACTGCCTCCGATGGCTGGACCCTCTTTGGGCAGAGCTGACCAGGACACAGAATGGTTGAGCCGTGCCTGGGGCCTTGTCCATTGTGGACCCTGCTGGGGATGCCAGCACCAACACTCCATCTCTGTGTCTGTCTACTTAGCAGTGCTTGTCCTTCACAGCTCAGGAAAAATTACCAAGAATGTATTGACTCTAATTTTAATTTGTCTAGCACTCTTGTTAATGATGTCTATTTAAGACATCCATTAAAGGCCCATGAGGTTAATTAAATGGACAATTCCAATACAGTTCTATTAGAACCCCCTCTATTAAATTAATATTATAGACATTTAACAGATGTCTTAATTAGACATTATAGTTAAGAAATGCAAACTAAATTAGAACTAAAGCCATTGTCCAGAAAGAAAGCTTTTCACCATAATTTATGGCTTTTGGGGGGAATGCTCATGTTTACTCTTCAGAACCTGAGAGATCAGTCATTTCACAATCTTTTCCAGCATTCAGAAAGCACCATCCCGAGAGGCCCAAATCTTAAATCACAGTCCAGATGTCAGAGCTGGAAAAGACTTCAGATACCATCTGGAGTCCAGCATCCTCAAACATCAATGATTGGAGGAACCAGCTGGGGTCTTAGAGAAACAGAAAGCTGTCTGGGCTCCACCCGTGGAGTCTGATCGCAGCCCAGGATCTGGCTGCTTTTAACACATATCCTGCAGATTCTCGCACAGGTAGTGCCAGAATCCCACTTCAGGAAGCCCTGATCTAGTCTCAAGGCCACACTTGACAGATGGTGACACTGAGGCCTTGGAAGACTTCAGAACTGGGTGACTGGATCAGCACAATTCCACAGCCTGCCCCGATGCAGTAGGACTTTTCTAGCAGCTCTCACCATCTCTCCTCTCCTGCTGGGCATCTCCTGAGTTTGGTAGCCACAGCCCCACAGCCTTTCTTCTCTCTCCTCTGCTGGCCCCAGGCCCTCTGGGCAGGTGATTTCCTGGGTCCTCCATGTTGGCCCTGCAGAGCCTGTGTGACCACGCTCTTAACATCCCACAAATGCCTGGATCCAAAGCCACCTCCAGGGTGCCTCCCTTGCCCACCCTGCCCACCTGTGTGTTCATTTCCTTTCCCAACCAGACTCTGCCTGGCCCCAAGAGGGCTTGGGAAGAGGAGCTGTTTGCAGAAATGTAAGAGAAGCTGGAACCCTCTGAGCTCCTGGTATTGGAGGGAGCAGCTGAACCGAAGTCCCACGAGCAAATGCTGGAATCCTGTGGTGATGGGAGCTCAGGGTCCAGAGGCTGGGTTGGATGAACTGGCTAATGGTCCGAGCATCCCATGTAGGGGTGTGGGAAGGCCGGGCCAGGCCAGTATCTGAGGATGTGGGTCAGGATACAGGATACAACTAGTCTGTCCCAGCTGGGACACCTCCATGGCTTTTATGGACTGATTCCCTCCAGATGCCTGTTGAAGCTCTGGGCCTTTAAGGAGGTAACTAAAGTTAAACAAGCATAGGAAGGTGGGGCTTTAATTCCATAAGACTGGTGTCTCTATAGAGGAAGAGATACCAGCGATCTCCCCTCGCCTCTCCCAGAGTGCACATAGGTCATCTGAGGACACAGTGATGTGGCCAAGGAGAAAGCTCTTACCAGACAGCAACCCCGACGGCACCTTAACCTTGGACGTCCAGCCTCCAGAACAGTGAGAAAAGAAATGTCTGTTATGGCAGGCTGGGCTAATAAGGCACGGCCCACAGTGTCCCTCTTAGCCTCCAGGTGCTGCATCCTTTTCCTGCCCTAGAGGCACTGGCCTGTCCTCCGCAGGCCCCGCACTGTGGCTGTGTCCTGCTCAGACCTGGCCTAGGGGATGTAAAGGGCCTGGGGCCCACTCGCTCTTAGGGGGACAATGGGTCACTGTACCCCCGTCTCCTGTCTCGTCCCATGGTGTTAACTGTTCTGTTGCTTCACAGGCCTCTTGGGGCACAGGGTTCTCCTCTGCATGAAGGCTAATACACAAGGCAGATTTCGCTGTGTCTCACAGGTAGCCTACCTGTCCAAGGCCGCTGGAGCTCTGCTCCCTGGGCAGTAGAGATGGGAGAGACTGGACTGCAAAGTACTACACAGCCCTCCAAGACAAGCCCTGGGCAGCAGCCATGGGGACGGCGGGCCCCGCACCTGCCTGTGCAGCGTTTAGTACAGGTTCATCGGGATCGCTCACTCACAGTCAGCACCCAGCCCGGCCTGGGCCCCCTCACCCCGTCCCCGGCCTTTGAGGATGGCATGGTCCATGGGGCACAGGGCCTAATGGCCCCTAGGGACAGAAGGGTCTCCCAGAAACAGGCAGCTCAGCAGCAGCAGCTTCGCGGCAGGTGAGCGTTCTCACCGAGTCTCCTTGGGGAGGGGGAGAGGTCTACAAACAAAACAGCCACTCACATGGAAACTTGAGTCTGCGCCAAGTGAAAAACAGATTTCACGTGGCAATTGGTTCCAACAACTTTTCTGGAAAGCAACTGTATATTTACACAACATTGGCCGCCTTTTACACTGCAGAGGGGTGGGTAAGAGCAGTGGGCTTTAGGAAGTGATAGCACCTATGCTGTTACCAGTGTGGCACTTTCAGACAGCCGGAAGAACGGAAGCCGTATTATGGGAAAGACAAGAGATTCCCTCAGGAAGCGGGAACCCAAGTAATAAAGGATGCACTCTCCAAGTATCTTCCCATCCTAAAGAACGTGGCTCTGGAGCTAGACTATAAGGTTCAAATCCTAGCTCGAGCTCTCTCAGGTGGTGAGACCCCAGGCAAGCCAGTGCTCTGACTCTAAATGTCCCTGTGGCCACACCCAATGGCTGTCACTGGGTCAGGATGCCGTCTGAGGTGGTGCTGGGACTTGGGCTCCAAACCACAGGCAATGGTGGCTGGGCTGCGGAGAACACCCCAGGGGACGCAGACCCTCCTGCTAAGTGGGGGACACCACGCACAGATGGAAGCGGGGTTGAGCTGCCAGGCTTGTATGTCCGTGGGAGACTCTCGGTGGGCTCAGGCTCCAGGAGGCACAGCTAGGCCTTCTCGCTGTTCTCCAGTTGATGTGAAATCAGTGTTTACGCTCCCCTTATTGTGTTTCTTGTCCCGTGTGGAGCCTGAGTGAGAAATGCTGAGAAAGCAAAGCTCTGGCATTGCTGCTTCTCTTGGTGTGGAAGAAAAAAGCATGTGAATTTGCCACCAACTTGTCATCAGGAATGTTTCTGCCTTCACCTTATTGACTGGCAAACACCTGCTTCTCAAAGGAAAGGGCTGATAGGGTCTCCTAAGCCACATGGCTTTTTTTAATAGCACACCTGGAAGGCTGGTCCCCACCCTGTTCTCATTCGGCCGGTTTGTACTCAGGCCTGCGTAGAAGGGCCCCACCTACTGGCCCATGGGCACACTGCCCACAGGGCAAGGGTCAGACTGGAGAGCCATGCTTTTTGGCAGCAAAAATGGAACTAAGAGTCAACTAAGGCGGCACCGTTGGGGACTCAGGCTTTCCTAGCAGGTTAGACCTTGGGAAAGGCTGTAGTCTTATTTTCCCTTCAGTCCACCTTCCTCGGGAGCCTAATAGACTCAGGAATTGAGAACACTCCATAGGCTTAAGCTCCCTGTACTGGAACTTTCTTCTGCTTTCTAGAAACAGCAAAATGAACCTTGGTTAGGTCAAAGAGCTTGACAGAAGGCCTGATTTAAAGTGACCCATCAAAGATGCAGGTCACCACTGAGCTAGTGAGACGCGGCGCCTCATGGCACCGAGCGCAAAAGTAGAGGCACGAGCCAGGGACGGCCTCCGGCCTCTCTCCCTCAGTCCTGGCCGTGCCGCAGGAGTCACTCCTGTGGCCTACTCACGCCCACACGCATGCTTTATCACACAAACTACTGACTTATCAAATAGCCTTCTGAAAACAGAAAAGTATGAAAAAGAAAAACCAAACAAACTGTTTAGGTCAACTTGTGTTAATCCTGGTGCTTTCTGCCAATCTTTTCTTTCCATGGGAGTAACAGAAAAACGAGAGCATCTGTAACGACACATCCCTCTGGTCCCTGAATTCTGTGCTCAGTACAGTGTGCCTCTGCCCAGATGACTAAATGTCCTTAACGCTGATTTAAACTGGCTGGAAGTGGTCTATAACCAGAACTGGCCTGACCATCTCTTCCCTGAAAGGCGGATGTTTCCAGTCTTTGGCTGGCATAAATAGTCCCCTTAGGCAGTAACAGCTCACAGGTCAATTGTTCCCTTGGCTTTGAACTTTTTTGCAGACCGCTCACTTGACCGCAGCTGGAATTTGCTACCATAAATGTAGGAAATAAAGCCATCGATCTCCATGGTGAACACACAGTTTTGCTTGGGGATAACTGAAAAAAAGTAAGAGAAAAAGGATAAGGAAAAAAATTCTGGCAGTAAGTTCACTTTTACGGAAACTATTATTCCCAAGATGTTTGTATTAGAAAATAAACAAAGCTACTAGGAAACACATTAGGGAATGGAGGAACCCACAAAGGTAACAATACCAGGATGAAGGTGATGATTCTACCAGAAAGTCAATTTACTCACATTTTAAATATAACTCAATACCTAGTTTTCAGGGTGAAAGGCCATGAACCAAACTCCGAGAAAAAGTGCCAGAAACAGGTCTTGCCACATAACTTGCAGACAGACTCATGGTGTTATGCTTCCTGGGGAAACTTGTACACCACTTTCTTAGGTTTAAAATGAGAGCAGAAGAGTATATAGGGCAATGGAAGCAAGCAGCAAGAAATCCAAGGGTCAAAAATAAAAGGAACAACCCCCACTGTGGTTTTGAAATCTCTGGATTCGTGGGCAAGGTGGGGGTGTGGGAATCCTGACAGACCAGGTGCTCCTCTGCCAGAGCGGTGAGCACAACGGGCAGATGAGCGGGGACTAGCTTCCCTGGATCCCAGGGCGCGGGCTCTGGGAACTCCAGGGGCAGGCGCTGCCGTGGCTTCCTCCCTACTACCTCTCTCGCTACAATCCTCTGGAAGGCAGCAGCCTTTGGGCAGGTGGAGGGTCCCAGTCCTGGAAACAGACCCAGGTGTCTGGAGGCACAGCCAAGCAACCCTTCCTTCCCTTGATCATATCTGGCCACAGCTGGGCTGACGAGTGTCTCAGGGAGAGCCTTGGGTGCCAGGATGGTCTCTGCAGGCTTGAGATGTAAGGTAGGCAGGGATCTGCTGACTCGAAAGGCCAAACTACCTTTAGAGGAAAGGGCCGGCGAGTTGGCTGGGGCGGCCACAGCCACGGCCATCCAGTCACGTACCTTTCAGGCGGTCTTCTTTAGTGATAATTTTGAAAACGTGCTTTGTTTCTTGTAGAAGGATCCCTGTAACACCCACATAGGAGGGGCACTTGGATTTTGTAACTGCAAAGGAAAAGGGCAGTTCAGGGCTCAGGCCTCTGTGCTATTAATGGAGCCACAAGTAGCCAGGCCTGTGGGGGATGAGGGCTCTGTTCCCAGCCTTGAGCCAGCGGAGGAAGAAAGAGCAGTAGGCAGGGCATGGTGAGGGGCAGCACTCCTATCCTAAGTGCTGGCTACTCAGCTGGGCATGGACAAGCCCAGGCTTCCCAGTCCCTTACTGGGGGTGTTAGGGCCTGTGCTGCTCTGATAAGGTGTCCTTCAGAGGGCCTGCTGCCACAGGGGTCCTAGGCAGGATTCTGGAGCCAAAGGGTCACATGTGTATCGAATACCACCAAGACACACAGTTGGGTTGCTCTGGCAAGGCCAAGTCTCGCTTATAGGACCTGAATGAACACCTGTTCACCATGGTCCTCCCGTAACCTCCCACGCTCTGGCCAGAACGGGAGGCCACTACAGGTCACCCAGCAATGAGCTGCCCCCACGGCAGCAGGCCCTCGCCCCCTCCAGCCCACCCCCATGCAGTGAGCACATGGTCACTGGACGCCTGCCGTGTGTCTGGCACTGTGCTGGGGCGGTGCTGGGCACAGTAGTGAGAAGGGCAGTCCTGGTCCTGCTCTCAGGGGGCTACTGTTCTAACGGGGCAGGGGTAATACACACAGACAACTGTAGTTTCTGACAGTGATGAGCGCTACGAGAAAAACACAAGGGCAGGGCAAACGGGGAGAGGGGTCACCTTTAGTAACGGTAGGCCCCCTGGGAAGCGGCATCTGAGTAGAGACCCAAATAATGAGAAAGAATCAGTCTGTGAGCACAAAGAACTCTCTGGACAGAGGGAAGAAGCAAATGCTAAGACCCTGAGGCAGGGCCAGGCCTGGTGAGAAGCAGAAAGCTGGCCAGTGTGGTCAGACCTGCTGCCCAAGGAGAATGGACAGGCTGTTTGGACCACAGTAAAGAGGCAGAAGGGACACAACTTTTTCAGTTAAAAAAAAAAATCTTTCATCTGGCTGCCTGGTCAGGGGAGGAGCAGTGTGTTGGCAGGAAGAGGGTTAGGCAGCTTTGCAATAATCCAGGGGAGGAGGTAGTGGCTTAGACTTGGATGTTAGGGTGTGCTCATGCCTTGGAGGTGGGGATGAGGAGAGAAGCAATGTGGATACTTCTTGGGTTTTCAGCCTGAACAACCAGCGTGAACAGTGCACTGCTATTTGTGGCCCTCAGAGGAGTACTAAGTGGTATCACTGACAATGATCTCAGTGGCAACTGAGATGACAAAGACCAGGGGAAGGGCTGATCTGAGGAGAAGCCCAGAGTTCTATTTTGGATGTGTAAAGTTTACAATGTCCACTGCACATCTGGGTGGCTATATACAGTAGACAGTTGAATTCAAAGAGTTCAAGGGTAAGGTCTGTGCTGGAGATGACAACTTGGTGACTGTTGGTCCACAGCTGACATTTAAAACCACAGGATTGTTCAAGTGAGCAGGCTGTGTGTGAGTGCCAGCAGCTGCGGTGTCCTTTGGGATGCTAGCAGGGGTCTTTGTGTGGAGAAGGTACACAGAGATCATCTAAGAGTATCCAACAAGTGGTCAGAATTGACTAAGACATCTATAGTCATCTCCTAACCTAAGTGCTGGTGATGTGGGGATATCAGCAGTGAAAGGAACTGTCACTGAAGGATGGCTTGGGCATCCGGATGATGTGCTCTTTAAGCAAATTACCTGAAACAATAGCGCCGTGAAGATCTGCCTTTAGAAGCTTGGCCTGAATCATCTGTGGCTGCCTAAGAGGTAAATAGAAGCCTTCAATGTATACCATGATGATAAATTCTGAAAGAAGTAAACAGGTCTACAGACTTATGCAGCCAGGCAATGCTGATAGCAGGGTCCCTTGGGTTCTTCCCCAAAGGGCAGGGCTTCAGAATTGCGACTCACATGTCTGGTTTGAGGCCGTTGCATAGATCCCGGATGTACTGTTTCCAGAGTTCATGTAGAGGGAGAAAAAGACTGTATCTGTGGCAAATTCAGAGAGAGGTAAAAAGTCAGGCAATGTGACATATACAATATATGACAATGTAACGTCCAAAGAGCACAGAGCGCGGCTGGATGCCAAGGACCATGACCTGGAGCACTGGGGCCTGGGTGCAAATCCTAGTTCTACTTCCTAGAACCGCACTGAAATCCAGCACTTTCACCTCTCAAATCTTAGTTTCCTCTCCAGTAGAACACTCTCCAGGCTAAGTTTTTGCTAATGAGAAGAGAAAGATGTTGCCTTCCTCTGCCCCTTCGTCTTTCCTGCTGGTTAGACGCAGCCGTGATAGCTGGAGCTCAGGCAGACGCCTTAGATAAAGATGGTGCAGCAGCAAGGATGCACCCAAGGCTGCACTCCGGGGTGTCTGATGGCTGCGGAACTGCCTGTGCACCAGCGCAGGAGGGTATTCAACCGGACTTTTCACAGAGAAAAGAAGCCACTGCTGCTGGCTTATTGTTCAGTCACTGCTGTTTTGAGGTTTTCTGTCATAGGAAGCTGACCCCGGTAAGCCCTCAGTAAACAGGACTTGCTGGTTGTCATAAGCCCATGTGCAAGGTGACAGGGTCTGTCTGGAGGGTGAGAAGTGGTGGGGTGCAGGGGAGGAAGCAGGTGAGAGGACCCCAAATGGCCTTCCTGCTGCTTCATGAGGAATCCGCTTAATGAAGCTGCTGGTTAGAGAAAATGAGAACCTCAGGCTGAAACCCAAAGTGGACTCTATTGGTGGGGACACGGGCGAGGCACACCAGGGGCAGGCAGCAGTCCCTTCCTCCTCCCAAAACCCAGCTGATTTTGTGAGGGGCCATGAACAAAGTGGCAGTCTCTGTCCTGGGGGATGTGGGAGGCTATCTGGCTACAGATCTTGGAGCCAAAGCATATGAACAGTCCTAAGACATGCAAATACAGAACTGTAGCCAAGGAGGGATGGGGTGTCAGCTGGAGGGAGGAACATGTCCTCCCACAGAGAGTGATGTCTCTCTCACAAACTTCTGAAACACATGGGCAGCATGTTCTTTGGCAAATAAAACCCCAATGGGTGAGTCTGTCTAGTGCTATTAAAAGCTACAAAGAGATATATGTTAAGAAGAATCAGTTCCTTTTGTTCTAAGAAAACTGTCGCCCTGTTGCCATGGGTGACAGACTCACTTTTGGCACTGGCCTTATTAGTTAAGGATAGGACAGAAGCCAAATGCAAAAAGGTCTGAATTGGTAAAGGAAGGCTGCCCCCTTGTGGCAGAAATGGGAGAGGCTCTCTTAGCTTAAGTGGAGCAGGGGCTGCCTCGTTTGCCAAAGTGAAGTTGCTCAGCTGTGCCAGACTCTGCAACCTTACGGACTGTGGCCCACCAGGCTCCTCCGTCCATGGGCTTTTCCAGGCAAGAACACTGGAGTGGGTTGCCATTTCCTTCCCCAGGGGATCTTCCTGACCCAGGGATCGAACCTGGGTCTCCCACGTTGCAGGCAGACTCTACAATCTGAGCCACCAGGGAATCCCCCAGCTTTCCAAACCCGTACTCAGAACCAGGAAGACCACGCTGCTGGGATGGAAAGGCAGGAAAAGCTCGCCATACCTCTGCTGCTCTGGCTTAATGTCAAAGAGCCGCAGCTCCCTCCTCTGCTTGGCAGAAAGGCCTTTAGATTTCTTTCTCTTTTCCTTTTGCTTCCGGTGAGTGAAGTACTCCAGGACCACGGCCTTGCGTTGCAGGTGGTCCTCCAGGGCTTGCTGGCTCATGCGGGGCATGCTCCGCCTCAGGAAGGCCCTCACGAAGGCCTCGGCCCGCTGGGCTCCCATGTGCTGCTTGGGGACAAGATGGTGAGATGCTGCTCTGGCTGGGACCACCCAGGCCCCCGGGCACTCCCACACACCACCGCAACAGCAGGTGGGCCACCTTCACTGACCCACCTATCTACCCACTGAGGCCCACACAGCCTCTTGTTGGCGTCCGCCAGCCCAGCTGGCCAGAAGTGAAAGCCACATTTAAATATCAATTTGTGACTGCCGCACAGATCCATCACCTCAGACTCCAACTTCCTACTCTACTTCTTTGCAGTTAAAAATAAAAACAAAAAGCCACAGCAAAAAACCAAACGGACAAAAACACTGTATTTGGAAGAAAAGACTTCTCTCATCCTTGGAAGGGAGGAAAGCTTGAGAAATGATAAGACAACAGGATTTAATCAATCATGATCAAATGAAGGCAAGCGATGGCCTCGAAGGAAATGATCCTAACACTAGGGAAAAACAGCATAATCAAGAACTCCAGGTTGGGCCCAGCTGCAGCAATTTTGACACTGGCCGTATCATTAACACTCTTTGAGTCTTCAGCCTTGCGGACGTGGCATGACTACTCTCCTACTTGGTTCTGGCACTGCATGAAGAAAGACACTGTCAGCATACCTTAGCCCTGCACGCTCACTCTTTCCCACACAGAGCAGAGCATCGTGTGACTGTGACAGCACCTGCGCTTAGAGAGGACTTCTGGACAACGTAACTGTCAGGACTGCGTGTAATTCTTGAAAGAACATACACTGCTGTCCCTCAAGTTGAAGTTCCACCAGTCTCTTCCTCATTCCAATGCCTCTGCCCACGTTCGCCACACCCCTAGGGAGCACTGTCTACTGAGGTTCTCCCTCTTGGCAGGGCCATTTCCTGGACTTCTGTTGCACTAACTGGGCTGCAAACACCTTGGAGCTCATGTGTCGAGAGTAATCAAGCTCTCATTTCATGGAGCAGTCATGGGCTTGGGGATAGGTGGGAGATGGGGATAAATGTGATACATACAACCTTCAAGGCTCCCCCTAGTAAGGAGGGCCGTCAGCTTCAGCTCTGTACTTTTAAATGCTAATAAAAATTCACTATCATCACTATTATTATTGTAAGAGGACACTTGATTCTTTTTTTGTTTTTGACATTTGATTCTTTAAACACTTAAGTGGCACACCTTTCATGCAGAAGCCAAATAAAGGTATATCAGTTTTTCAAAATCTTGATTTCCTAAGTAACTCCCTCATTATGAGTCACCAGTGAACCTTCTGCCAAACTATGTTTGGAGCACCCAGATATGATCCATAAATTACACTTATGAAATATGATCTGTCTTCCCTTTTCAGGAGTGAAGGGGGCAGAGTAACAAGGTCAAATGACAGTGCTCACCATGACAGGTTTCAGGTGAGCACAGCTTGGTGTCCCCTACATGGTGAGGGGACACAGATCAAGAAGTCCCAGTTTACCAAACTTGACTCTGGGAAAAGAGGCGAGCAGAACAACAGACCTTGATTAAACCTAATATGTCTGCTGGAAACATGAGAAGTCAACTGTGGGAAAGGACATCTAAAACAGCACTAAAGAAGCCACTAAAGTACTTAAGAAGCCACTGAGCCACCTTGGTCATCACCTCTGGTGCTCCCAGACCCCCTGCCCAAGCACTGTACCTGAACGTCAAACTCTTTTGCCTCCTTCTGAGAAAAGGCATGGTAGACCGCACCTAGGGGATTAAAACCAAAACAAAACACAAACACGGAAAGATCAATCTTGTTGGCTATGGCTAGAAAACCTAAGACTCTTCTAACTAGGAAAAGCACTTTGCTTATTGAGGGACAGAAGACAGGTGGTACGGAGAGCACAGCACCAAAGCTTTCTCGGATGTCTACGGTCCTACCCTCCGGCCACATCCATCCAAGCAGTCCCAGCGGTGTGCTTTAAAACAGTGCTTCTCAAACATGAATCTGTTGCTCTAGAACTCTAATAATGTATTTCATTTAAAAGTTATGTGACAGGGCTTTTCAGGATGAGGAGAGTTGAAACTATTACATTTTGTTTACTGTTTGATGTTTAAAAAAAGACTTTTTACATTTCACCATCAATGAAGCTGAGATGCATCATACAACCGATGGTGTCCTAAATTGATAAAATACCATAGAGCCTTCTTCAAGCCCAAAATACATACTGCTCAACATGGTTTCAACCTTCAAAACTTTTCACACTCTTGTTTCTTAATTTCTTCTGAAGAAGAAAACCACAGCATTGGGGACAGAATATGGGTGTGAATAGAATGAGACAAAGGCCTGGTTTAAGGGCCAAAGGACTAGAAAATATGGTTCATACTACACTCTAAATTCCATCCCAGCTCTGTTGTGCTTCCTTGAATACATTTGAACAAACAAACCAAGGTGGTTACAAGCTTCATATACAGAGTATGATTCTCCCTCAACTGGAAGACAGGAATTGAAATCTGTTTGTAGAAAGCAACCTGCAGGGTATGGAACACCAGGGATGCCTAGCATTAAACCCAGAAGCCTTTTTTTTCCCTCCTGTAACAGACATCTAACAGTTATTGAGCCCTCAATACTTACCATGCCCAATTAAAAGTTATGTACACTTTATCTCATACTTTCTGAATGACCATTTTAAAGGTATTATTATTCCTATTATATATTCCCAGGTGGCGCCAGTGGTAAAGAATTCGCCTGCCAATGCAGGAGACACAAAAGAAATGGGTTCAATCCCTGGGTTGGGAAGATCCCTTGGAGGAGGCAACTCACTCCAGTATTCTTGCTTGGAAAATCCCATGGACAGAGGAACCTGGTGGGCTACAGTCCATGGGGTTGCAAAGAGTCGGACATGACTACCCACGCACACACACATTCCTATTATGCACTGAGAAAATTGGAAGTTCAAATATGCTGAGACACTTAACTCGATCACGCAGATCGAGAGGCAGAAGTGGAACTTAAAATCCAGTTTTTACGGTGTCACTCCCCTGCCTATATAAATTGCCTAGGGTGCTTGCTCACCTCCTCTCTGCTCAAACTCTCAAAGCCTTGGGTTAGTGGTATTGTTCCCCAGCGCGCTCTCTGCGCTTTACACCAGAAAAGGATCGTTCACAGAACAGCTGGCTGGGCAGGCACCATTATCAGTACCTTCAGTTCAGTTCATTCGCTCAGTCCTACCCGACTCTTTGCGACCCCAGAGACTGCAGTAGGCCAGGCTTCCCTGTCCATCACCAACTCCCAGAGCTTGCTCAAACCCATGTCCATTGAGTCGGTGATGCCATACAAAAGGGGAAAGCGGGCTGAAGAGAGGAAAAGGGCCTTGACCACGCCACCACGGGATATAGCAGCCAAGTCAGACCAAGGCCTTGGGCCCTCCTCTAGCACCACTCACCAGGGATCAGGGCAGTACCCCCGACCCCCTCCCCTCCTGCCCAGAGAAGCCGATATCAGTTTCTAGTTCAGAGACTGCGCCAGGCCAATCGGGACTCCTGGCCACAGTTACACTTCTAGAAGGCGGGACAATTCCCACGGCAGTTCCGTCCAGACTCCCCTGCAACTCTGTCACCCACCAATACCTAGACCTAGTCCCCGGCTCTCTAACACCCCACCCCTCTCCAATTTCGTGGCCCTCAACCCGCTTACTCGTCATTCTCGGACCGCTTCCGGTGCGCTCTGCTGACGTCTCTTCAGGCGTCGCTCACTCTTTATCCGCCTCTACTTTCTTCAGCAGCCCTCAACCACTACAGCCTTTCTCGTCCAAGTTTGTGGCGCAGACGTTCCTTGTGCCCGAAGTCGCGCGGTAAGCAGGCTGACAGACCGACGACCTGCTTCGCGGAGCTGGAGTCTAGGGCTCCTGGCTCAGGGGGTGGCGCGCCCGTGACGTCACCGACGCGCGCCGACTTCGGAGGACGCCTGCGCCTCGGGGCTGACCCCGGCGCGCGGAGTGCTGCGGACTGTCAGAGTCCCTGTTTGATGGCGCTCTCTGCGTTTGTGTGTTTTGTAGGCGAGGGACTGCCAGAAGCAGTAGGGTTGGGGTTGGGGAGTGTGGAATGTTTGTGAGGTCCTGGAATAGAGGGAGATGAGTCGACTTGGAGAGAACGGAGGGAGGTTGGGGACGCGAGGAGGGTGGAAATGGGTTTGGGGATGGTGGTGGTGGTGGAGGAAATGAGGTCTGTGCGATCCCTGCTCGCTACAGGGTCAGCGGAGGCACGGAAGTTGGGGCAGGAGGTTCTTGTTTTGTCTCTGCTGCTAGCTAGCTGTGTGATCTCGCTTAAGGCACTTTCCATCTCGGGGCCTCACTTTTCCCTTGTACTGTGAGTGGGGTTGGGCTTGATGGTCTCTGGAATATTAGGTTCTGTCAATAAGGTAAAAGACAAGGAATGGATTCTTATTGCCCTGGGGATGGGTTCAAGAAATGTGGCTAGAAGGCCTGGTGGAGATCTCTTACAACTGACCCAATGGTGCACAGAATCGTGCAGTCTGAACTTTCGCCCCGTGCTGAGCCTGGGCTGGGTGCTGCCCAGGAAGAAAAGCAGTATGACTCTTGTCTTCTAAGCAGGTGGTTCTCAACTTTCAGTACGGTATGAACTCCCTTTAAAGGGAAAACTTTTCTCAAGGAACACTGGGAGTATGTCCACACATCCTAGTTTTAGAAACATTGGCTTAAGTTTCTTTGAGTGGTGACCTTGTATCATTTTGATATTAAATATAAGACTGCAGGCCCTGAAATTGAGTGAATTGTCTAGTATTTACCTTGTATGTATATTACCATCAAAATGGAAACAGCGTTGAATACAAACTGTATTGCACTTTCAGACCCCTGAAAATACTTAGGAATCTCTGGGACTAAGTTTAAGAAACTGCTCTTTGGGTTAGTTATGTAAACTACCATTCCTTGTTGTTCAGTTGCTAAGTCATGTCTGAGTCTTTGCAACTCATGGACTGCAGCACATCAGGATCCTCTGTCCTTAACTATCTCTTGGAGTTTGGTCAACTCAAGTGCGCTGAGTTGGTGATGCTATCTAACCATTTTATCCTCTGCCACCACCTTATCCTTTTGCCTTCAGTCTTTCCCAGCATCAGTGTCTTTTCCAGTGAGTCGGCTCTTCCCATCAGGTGGCCAAAGTATTGGAGCTTCAGCTTTAGCATCAGTTCTTCCAATGAATATTCAGGGTTGATTTTCTTTAGATTGACAGGTTTGATCTTCTTGCAGTCCAAGGAACTTTCAAGAGTCTTCTCCAGCACCACAGTTTGAAAGCATTAATTCTTCAGTGCTCAGCCTTCTTTATGATCCAACTCTCACATCCATACATGACTACTGGAAAAACCATAGCTTTGACTATAGAGACCTTTGTTGACAAAGTGATGTCTCTGCTTTTGAATACACTGTCTAGGTTTGTCATAACTTTCCTTCCAAGGAGCAAGCGTCGTTTAATTTCATAGTTGCAGTCACTGTCTGCAGTGGTTTTGGAGCCCAAGAAAATTAAATCTGTCACTGCTTTCACTTTTTCCCCATCTATTTGCCGTGAAGTGATAGGACAGAATACTGTGATCTTGGTTTTTTGAATGTTGAGTTTTAAGCCAGCTTTTTACTTTCCTCTTTCACCCTCATCAAGAGGCTCTTTAGTTTCTTTTCACTTTCTGCCATCATAGTGGTGTCATCTGTTGATACTTCTCTCAGCAACCTTGATTCCAGCTTGTGATTCATCCAGCCCAGCATTTCACATAATATATTCTGCCTGTAAGTTAAATAAGCAGGGTGACGGTATGCAGCCTTAACATATCCCTTTCCCAACTTGGAACCAGGCCATTGTTCCATGTCCAGTTCTAACTGTTGCTTGTTGATCTGCATACAGGTGTCTCAGGAGACAAATATGGTGGTCTGTTATTCCCATCTCTTTAAGAATTTTCTACGGTTTGTTGTGATCCACACAAAGTGAACTAACATATCTGTATTTTAAAATAGCACACAACAGTAGAAGACAGCCAATTTCAGTGCTATACTCAAGGGAGGCCCTTTTGAGCAGGGTTGTGATTATGGAGATAAAGGAGAAGGCAGACCTCAGTCTTTTAAGAGTTTTTCTAGGGTTGTTAAGAGTCTTAACTCCCAACTGACCCTGGATGAGTCTTCTGTAGAATTCTCTGATTGTGTTGGGTGAGCACTCCCAGAACTGCAGTTATTCCATAGTTCCTGATTACTAAATTCTTTTTAAAAAGCAAACAAACTACTTAATTGTCCGCAGGAAATAAATGTATATATATCCAGAGAGATGCCTGTCCTTATAGGTATGTTATTGTGATTGTCATTTAGCAGAAATTTGAAAACTATTTGATGTTTGAAAATAAAGGATTAAACAAATGAAGTATGTGATAATTAATTAGGTAGGTTAATTAAATGCATTATAATCACAGGGTAAGCTTCAAAAATTCATATTCCTTGCCATCCTGGAGATTCTTATTTAGTTGGTGGGTCCCAAAGAATTTTCCCAGGCAATTTTGGAAACTATCGTATGGTATGTTTTATATAACTTATATAATGGAATACCATGCAGCCATTAATCAAATGACATTCTGTTTTTTTTAAAGTGTGCAAAATATTAATGTGTATAACCAAATAGTACAAATAGAATATACACAAAAAGGACTGGAAAGAACTATAATAATATACTGAAAGTTTCTGTACCTGTGTAAGTGAACTTCTGAGAGATTCTTTTTTTGTCCATTTTCTAAATTTTTCTCAGTGAAAATAAAACTTCCTTAAGTTTATTTTTTTTTATACTTATCAGTGGTAAACTTTCAAACATGGTTACACGTTTTCCCACTAGCAACCTTGTGAATGTTCCATGGGCAATCAAGGTTTGTTAGTATCATGCAGATGACTTCCCCCTACCCCTGACAACTTATTGTAAAGAACTTCAAATATACAGAAAAATGGAAAGAAGTCTGTAGTGAACACTCTTATGCTCTTAGATTATACAATTACCATTTTGTTTTATTTGTACAAGTTTCTTTTGATTGCCGCTTTAAGACATTCAGGCTATTAGATTGAGTACTCAAGGAAAATTCCATACGTAAAGTCAGAAAGATTAAGCCTCAGCTATTAAATAAGTGCATATCTATGAAAATTAGAACCCTCATTATAAATAAACACAACTAAATCCATAGTCAATGAACGTTGTAATCCTCCAAGTTCAAAAAAGTCAGCATGTTATTTTATATATTGTGCATATTTACATATGTGTATATACATAGATACACACATGCATAAACACATTTATACATATGTTTGTAAATTTTTCTTCTGTGTTTCCTTTAAATGACTAAAGAGGGATAAGGCCTGTCCATGCTGCTTTGCTGCAACAGGAAGGCCTTGTCTGCAATGGGTTGACAGCAGTACCTGCTCCCTAGGGTTCCTTTGGGCCCCCAGTGAGATGATGCCCGTGTTCAAATGGCCTGGCGTAGATAGCATGGTTTGCGAAATGAGAGCTATCATCATCTTCATTCCTGCAAAGCTGAAACAGTCCCTCCGCTCAGGGTTATGAACTTCCCTGGCCCTGCTTTGCCTCTGGTCTGTGAACTGGTCCAGATGTGGTATATGGACAAGAGGAGCTGGGCATGGTGGTGGTGTTGGGGGCGACCTGGGCGCAGTGGCAGCAACATTCTTTAGGCTTACTAGTGCCACTCTGCCCACTCTGACAGAGTGAAGAGACTAGGCAGCAAGGTACTAGTGCTGACACTGGACGTTTCTTTCAGGCAAACCCTCTCCTGCTGGGTAATTGGGTGATTTAGCTACAAGAAGCAAAGAACTGACGTGTAAAGGAGGATGGCATGTCAGTCCGTCTGGTCAAGAGGAAGTGCTGTGCCCTAAATCAATTTCAGATCAACCATTTAGGTTTTTGAATAGCAAGAACTATAACACATGTCATGTGTGGTCAAATTGCAGTGTCTGAAAGCCAGGTCACTCAGTCAACATCCAGATGTCACGCTTCAAGGCTACCTACCTTGATCCCACAGGTCTAAAATGCAACTCTAGTAGATTTTCCCAGTTCCCTGAAGAAATTTCACTCTGCGCTGAACCCCCTGGGAAATGCTTGGTTTTGGTTTTCGTGATGCAGTATCTACACGGGATTCCCTGGTGACTCAGCGGTAAAGATTTCCGCCTACAATGCTGGAGACCCAGGTTTGATCTCTGGGTCAGAAAGATCCCATGAAGAAGGAAATGGCAACCCACTCCAGTATTTTGCCTGGGAAACCCCATGGACAGAGGAACCTGGTGGGCTACAGTCCATGGGATCACAAAAGAGACACAAGTGAGCAACTAAACAACAACAACATCTGAATGCACAGGAGGCTCTTTGGGGTCCTAAGAGGTCTCCTTTGGTGGATGTGTGGGGTAATTCTTGAGGCCCTTGAAGGATTTATAGGGAAACCACTGCCGGCTTCATGGGGCATGTGTGCATAAAGCTCCTGTTTCTCCTCACCTGTGCTTAACTTTGGGGAAGTTGTCGTTGGCTCCTGGCTGAAGAGCTGTGGGTTTACATATGTGTGTGTCCAGTCTAGTTCAAAATGTGGGGAACTGGGAGGGAGAAGGAGCTGATATAAAATCACCCCAAACGAATTGGGATGGACTAGAAGGTGAAGAGACCTGGT